CCATTGTATTTAAACGTATAATGCCCTGCCACTCAGCTGATCAGCTGATCAGCTGAGTGGCAGGGCATGAGAAGGTAACGGTGGTACACTCAGCCATCTGAAGTACAAATCTACTTGTTGGGTCGAAAGCGTCGGGAGGGGTTGCTCCGCTGAACATTTTCCAAATCTAGAGTCCAAATCAGTGCCCTTTGCTTGATTCATGGGGTATCTGCGGGCAAAGAGAGTAGTAGTAGTATTCTCAGGTCATGAACCTGTGAAAATCGGTGCGAGCGAGCGATTTTTTATTTTATTTCCCACAATGTTTTTATTTCCAAACTGACCAAAGATAGGGATCACACATATGTGCATGGTCACATGACACATGTTCAGGCCAGGGAGTAGAAAAATACCGGTATTTTACTACTCCTGATTCATGCCTTTCGCATTCACCGTTTTCATGCGCGCGTATGCATGCATAGAAATAAAAAAATTCGTCAGTGCGCCGCCAAAAATCGGTGCGCGCGTACTTGAGAATCAAAGATAATTTTTACCATGGCCTAATGTGAAAGTACAATTATTATTGAAAGCAATAGGTGATCTGCACTGTACAATGTGATTGAAAGCATTAGGTGATCTGCACTGTACAATTTGGCAAAGAGAGTGTTACAGCCAATACTGTAGTTAGCGTAGCATGTCAGACACCCCTGCGGCCTGTGTGTTATTGACCATGTCAGACGCCCCTGCGGCCTGTGTGTTATTGACCATGTCAGACGCCCCTGCGGCCTGTGTGTTATTGACCATGTCCGACGCCCCTGCGGCCTGTGTGTTATTGACCTTGGAAGTCTGAAGAAAATGTTCACTGGTTGTTGCTGGGGTGATGACTACACTAAAGCCGCGAGGGGGGGGGGGGGGTGAGAGCATCCACTGGCCAGGTAAAGCAAGAGTCCCAAGTTCGAGTCCTGGTGGAGACAGTCAATCTATTCCTCACACTTTCCCGTTTGAACAACCTGAAACTTCTGAGCACTCAAGCATTCAACTGTGTTTTGTTCTTTTTCAGGGATTGATGAATGTTCCTCAGGCACGCACGATTGCCATATGAATGCCGTGTGTACGGATACAGTTTCTTCGTACACGTGTGTATGCGCAGTGGGGTTTACTGGAAATGGCAGAAAATGTGACTGTAAGATTACTTGCCCCACTGTCTGGAGATATGTGCATTTTTTTGTAGAAGAAAAATGAAAAGAAAAACATACTGTATGGTGTAGTATTTCAGATCACTGACATTGTCATTGGACAAAGCAACATGGTTACATGTATTGGTGGATACCGTACTCGGGCCATCAGTACCCCGGGGGCACTACTGTTTTCAATATGCATCACTGACGGGGTACTATTCAAGAGAGGGTACTATTCAAGAGAGGGTACTATTCAAGAGTGGGTACTATTCAAGAGAGGGTACTATTCAAGAGAGGGTACTATTCAAGGGAGGGCACTATTCAAGAGAGGGCACTATTCAAGAGAGGGTACTACTCAAGAGAGGGCACTATTCAAGACAGGGTACTATTCAAGAGAGGGCACTATTCAACAGAGGGTACTATTCAAGAGATGGTACTATTCAAGAGAGGGTACTATTCAAGGGAGAGCACTATTCAAGAGAGGGCACTATTCAAGAGAGGGTACTATTCAAGAGAGGGCATTATCCAGGAGAGGGTACTATTCAAGAGAGGGTACTATTCAAGAGAGGGTACTATTCAAGAGACGGTACTATTCAAGAGAGGGCACTATTCAAGAGAGGGTACTATTCAAGAGAGGGCACTATTCAAGAGAGGGTACTATTCAAGAGAGGGCACTACCTTTTTAAATGCTGGTACATTTGCGTCATCCAGCATAAACCAAAGAAAAGTAGAGCCTCGTGTTTACTGCAAATTAGGGGTGAACGGTTCGGGTAAGGAACCGGTTTTGGAACCACCAGCTGAAAGGAATCGGGTACCCGTTCCGTCAAATTTCGAACTGAAACTCGAAAAATGCCGTTCTCGTACAAATACATGTACACGTCAAGTCTACTCAAGATTTATAATATTAAATTATGATGTCTTACCTAACGATCACCTCCCTTCCAAAGGTACCCAGGTTCTCCTGGTCATTATCTTCTTTGCACATGGACTCTCCGATGTCTCGTTCTTGCTCGTAAAAAATCTTTTCTAAAAGATAATTGTCGCGAACGCTTTTTGTCTGTCTGGAGAAAAGAATGCATGGAACCGATACCCGAACCGTAGGAAACTATGCTGGCATTAGGGTACCCAGACATGAAAAACATGGAACCGTTTCACCCCTACTGTAAACTATCCCAAATCAACAGAACGGCAACAAGAACTGCGATTTTGATATTGAAACCACAATGGACAAGAACATTATCAAAAAAAAACACCAAACCTGCACATGCATTTTGTTACAAGCCTGAGGGGGGGGGCACTATTCAAGAGAGGGCTTTATTGTTTTCACTGGCTCTTGGAGACTGGGGCACTATTCGAGATAGGGCACTCATGATTCGAGAGAGGGCTCTAATCTCGTGAGTAGGGTATCCGTGTATTCGCCATTGGCACTCTATGCTGAAACTTCACCACCACCACCACCACCACCAACACCACCACCACCACCACCACCACCACCACCACCACCACCATCACCACCACCACCACCACCACAAATCTATAATTGGTATGCATTTAGGACCCATGATGATGTCGGCAGGGAAGAACGTCATTGAGATAGAACTGCAGTGGTGATCACGAACTGACATGTTCTCCCCATCTTACGTTATTCAAATCCTCTATCTCTGATCAAGATCAGAGATAGAGGATTTGAGGATTCATTTGCTATGCTGCACTAACTAGCGTGGTCTCATGACGCATCCATGCTCGTTGCAATAAGAAGAGGATGAAAACTGAGGTGTTACGCGGAGTTTCACTCGCGAGCCCATCATCAGACAACAATACTGAGAAAATTATTTTAAATTTGTCTGGTGATCGCCTTGCGCGTGAAACTCCGAGTAACACCAAGTGTAGTCTCTTCTTCTTGTTGTATACAGCTCTGGCCTTGGTGAACAGAGAACCGTACTGAACAACCTAGCTGGAGCTTTTCTGTCCTATAAATAATAAAAATGTTCTTTGCCTCCTAAGTCACCAATGCTTTCTTCCTCCTTTTTGCTCTTGTTTCCAGTGTCTCCGTGCCAAAGCATGTACAGACGGGCCAGCGATGGAGTCAGCTGTGTGGGGTGTTCGTGCGACGCATCTGGTACAAAGAGCTGCGACACCGACAGTGGTGCATGTCTGTGTAGAGAGAACGTGGAGGGTGAACGATGTGATGTATGCTCTGATGGCAGCTACAAGCCGTTCCTGCTCTCGGGATTCTGCACTCCCTGTCATTGCAAGGCTAACACGACGCAAGTCGGCAACACATGCGACAGGTCAAGCGGCACGTGTAATTGCCTGGGCAACTATTTCGGCGACAGGTGTTTGTACTGCGGTCGTGGCTACTACAGAGTCGGGGAAGAGTGCATCCCTTGTGCATGCAGTAACACCGGTGCTTATAACACTCGCTGTAATCTTATCGACGGCCAGTGTCAATGTCGGCCAGGCTACTCTGGCAAGCAGTGCTCCATGTGCCCACCCGGACACTTCAAACCAGACACCAGCAGTGCAGAGCGGCCATGCGTGGCCTTTGACTCTAAACTCCAATGCCAAAGTAAGAATCTTAAAATGATGTCTGCCGAATAATCATTGCTATTTACCGGAGTATGCAACCACGGGTGCTACTTCTTCAAACAGATGTTTTATTGAACTTTTCTAAGAACTCGCAGTCTCCATTGCAGCCACTGATACATAATTTGGGTACCTCAACTCGAACTTTCACACTCTCCAAATACGGTCTCTTCCCTGCATACGTTACTTCAAAATAAATAAATAATTGAATTCGCCAAATGTTCGGGCATGGCCCATCCTCAGGGTGAAAAAAGTTCAACTTTGAACGCTTTCTTGAACGCACAAAGCCAATGATGATATGAATGCAGGGAGAGCAAAGAATTGAAACAGAGAACAGAAGAACTGATTCATGAAACGTGTGAATTGCAACAGCATGCAGTGTGGTGAGATTGAGTTTTGTGTGAGTTGTTTCACATTCTGACTGCACTGTAGCATCTACAGCAAACCTCTCTATGACAAACAATAAAGGGACCAATTGTATTTGTTTGCAATAACGGAATTTCTTCTTATCCACATGTAATTCAAATAAAAATACCAACTACCATACCATGCCATAATTCATGCAGGATTCTGTTCTCGAGGTTCGTGGTTTCTCGTTAAAAAAATACCCAGTGAATACCCAGTGAATACCCAGTGAATACCCAGTGAATACCCAGTGAATAATACCCAGTGAATAGTACCCAGTGAATACCCAGTGAATAGTACCCAGTGAATACCCAGTGAATAGTACCCAGTGAATACCCAGTGAATAGTACCCAGTGACTTATCGCATGCAGTGATGTCTTTTCTAATTGTCTGCAAACTCCGACGCAGCCATTTACACATTAAGGAAACTTCAATTCTCAACTCCAAAAACGGTCACTTCACTACGATTCGAATTCAAATTAAGATTTACATTACACCGCATTTTCGGGCCTGGCCCATCACCAGGATAGTACAGCTATGACTGCTAGCTCTTCCAAAGCGAAATTTTGGCTTATCAGTGTTTTGTTTTTTAGTGTTCTTCTTAACAAGACTGAATTGTGGTGACAGTGGTGGATGGTTGGTCTTACTTAACAACTTGTGTTTGATTGACATGGTGCAGCTTGCTTGGAAGAGAATTGGTGGTTTAAAGATTAAGCACACTTGACGAAGTTTGTCCGGGTGTGTTTTAACCACCTTTGCTCTGCTACAATGATGCTGCCTTGGGCTCTTTGCATGATTGTCTGATACTTGTCGTTCTCCACAGTGTGCATACGATGCTGCATTTTGAGTCGTCGCATGATTGTCTTCTGCTTGTCATTCTCCGCAGTGTGCCAGTGCTCTCTCAAGGGCTCTGCGAGCAGTAGCTGTGCTGATGGATCAGGGACATGCAAGTGTAGGCCAGGATACACGGGTGACAAGTGTGACACCTGCGTTAGTCCTAGTCACTTCCATACAACTGACGGTGGCTGCACAGGTATGGTCTTTCCGCTACTGCATGCAGGTGCTGCTGTATAGTAAAACCTGCAAGGCGGCCACTCGGATAAGGCGACCACCTGTCCTAGAAGACCACTGGAACCAGAATCAAGGGGTTCTATGTCCAGTGAAATGACCCTGGATGAGGAGACCACCTGGTAACAGAGACCACGTTTTGAAGGTCTCTTGAACGGTCGTCTTGGACAGGTTTCATGATAACTTACTTGTTCTCTGCTTTACCACCGTATCACAGTGCTAACAAGCCCTGACCAATACTATACCATGTACTTGAAAACAGCTAACCTTGGTGTGTCAACACTTTAGCCACTTTATCACCCAGCATGATTTTGTGAGCTAACATTTTAGCCATTCATGTCGGATTGGAGGAAACTGAAGATTCGTGCAACTTCCGAGCAGCGTAACAGTAGCCTATAGCGAAAACAATTCCTTCGCCAAAATCGCCAAATGTTCACCATCGATACAATTAGCCCTCTTACAGGACTAATACTGGCATGACACCTTCGTTCCAGCCATTCATTTTACAGTAGAAGCAGAAATTTCCGGTGGTGTTTTATTTTCGGTAACTTCGGTGCCAACATTTTTTACAGAAAAAACGCACGGAAAATGTCGGTACTACCGGTACAACTATACATAATAAGCAGACTTACCTGTAACACGGGTTTTACCGAAAATTTTCCTCCACCGAACCGCCGATTTTGGAGAATACCGAAAATATTACACCGCCGAACATTTCTGCTTTAACAGTAACCCTAGCGTGGGATCTTTCTATGTACAGATTCATGAACTTACAACGGGATGGGATGATCACATTGATGAGTGTCTGCCGCGCTTGTTTTACCCCCTGCTAGCACACGCTATGGTTTCAGTGCAATTTCTTACGTAGGTGCTGAGAGGTGGAATGCACTGCCACCTGCTTACCGCTTTTCTAATTCACCTGCTGAATTTCGATCATCCATCAAGACTTTCTTAGGGTTCCCTGTAAGAAGGCGATGACGCCTGTAGGGAATTCCCTAGTAAAATAAGAATAAAAAATAAAATTACCCAAAGAGCTTGGAAATTCTCACTGACTGCCGTCAGGCCCTGTCTCTTACTCTGTCTGTAAACATGGTAAAAATTCACCTAGGGTTGCCAGTAAAAAGGCAACGCCTGTTGGGACTCCCCTAGTAAAATAATAAAATCTACTACTACTACTACTCCACTACTCAGGGCCCTACGCTATGCTTTCTTGCCTAGCTCATCGTGCATGTTTCCGTTTTCATGTTTCCATGTTCCCTAGTAAAATAAGAATAAAAAATAAAATTACCCAAAGAGCTTGGAAATTCTCACTGACTGCCGTCAGGCCCTGTCTCTTACTCTGTATGTAAACATGGTAAAAATTCACCTAGGGTTGCCAGTAAAAAGGCAACGCCTGTTGGGACTCCCCTAGTAAAATAATAAAATCTACTACTACTACTACTCCACTACTCAGGGCCCTACGCTATGCTTTCTTGCCTAGCTCATCGTGCATGTTTCCGTTTTCATGTTTCCATGTTCCCTAGTAAAATAAGAATAAAAAATAAAATTACCCAAAGAGCTTGGAAATTCTCACTGACTGCCGTCAGGCCCTGTCTCTTACTCTGTATGTAAACATGGTAAAAATTCACCTAGGGTTGCCAGTAAAAAGGCAACGCCTGTTGGGACTCCCCTAGTAAAATAATAAAATCTACTACTACTACTACTCCACTACTCAGGGCCCTACGCTATGCTTTCTTGCCTAGCTCATCGTGCATGTTTCCGTCTGTTCGAATAACAAGCATGATGAGCGAGGCAAAAAAGCATAGAGTAGGGCCCTGAGCGAAGGAAACAAAGTTTCTCTTTGCATTCGAGTGTTATACGACACCGTCTACCACTTTGATGACCTAGGCAAAAAAACGCATAGGGATGTTATAAATGTTTCATTTCTCTTTTTTTCAAGACATAACCTGGGATTCAACCCGCACTATCGCCCTGCATGCATTCCCCCGACACGCTTCGCATTCATACTCACTCTTCCAAGTTGCTTCATGTTATGATTTGAAAGCCCTATTTGAATATTGTGGCCAGCTGTCTTTGATGGTACAGTACGGTACAGGACAGGTACGGGATAGCGCCAGGCATGCCGACGGCACAAACAAACAAACAAACAAACACTGCGTGGACCCTGGCTAGTGCCAGATGTTACTGAAGTAACGTCTTTTGCATAGCTATGGGAATAAATAAATGATGCCCCAGACCTGAACATATTCAGGAATATTACGGTCAATTGTTCAGTCACAGCAAAGGGAAAATAGCTTGGGAGTTGAATAGGTGTAAAGTAAGAATGTAGTAGTCATAGTGAGAGTACCCACTGTACAGTCAGACCTCGCTTAACCGCACACATCCGTTTTCCACAAAAAATATCCGAATAGGCGAGGGAACCGGATAATCGAACACACATGCTGTATGTATGCATGACATGTGCTGTAAATCGGTAACCAACGATGTTCTTCCGGATGGCGAGGGATCCGGATAAAAGAGGTCCGGAGAAGCGAGGTCTGACTGTGCCGCCGCAATTGTGTTGTCTTTGTACATGTGCAGAACTGAGCAGTGAACTCTTCACAGCAAGCAACTCGTCCTTGGTCAGGAGCAATGTTGTCAATCTGGACTATCCATTTGTCTATGCGTCAAAGTTCACCGAGCACCGTCAAGTCTCAGTAAGTTTAACTTGGTTGGCATATCTCTCTTGCCTTGTTGCTTGGAGTAGTTGTGAAGTGGTGGGCTGCATTTTCAAACAGTCTTCTCAATGTTACTCACTTTGCTGATGGTTTGCTTGCGTCACAGGTGTCGTTTGAGGGTCTGATGTCACTGAACGGCTTCTCCGGCATCTACAACCTCAACTCACGTGTGAAAGAAAGCAATGCCATCATCGCACCTTACTGGACATCACGCGCTGGAAACCAGGCCTGTTCGAATGGCACCATGGAAACACATCACGTCAATGAGACTGTGGACAACGCCACGTTCACAGCTATCAAACAAGCCGTGCTAAATCAGTATAGGCCGCGCGATGACTTTCGCCCGCGCGAAGCCGTCTTCACAACCTGGAGAGAGATCCGAGAGAACAATCAACACAACAAGGTTAGCGAGCGCTGAGTCATCATGATGAGAAAAGAGAAGAAGAGTATTGATAGAGCATTTGTATTGCTGGTGCCAAACTGGCCAAAAAATAATTATAGGAAAGCACCCCGAAGACTACAACTGGTGAAAATTTGATTTTAGGGTACACTTCCCATTTAAAATCGAATGGAATGCACCATCTACAGTGTTCAATTATTTTGAAAGTAAAATTGCTCCTTTCCGTAACACATCCATCAAAACATTCTCTTCTTACTGGTCATTTGTCTTCGCTGTCCTCTCCGTTTGTTGTCCTGTTCTTTGCAGCGTAACACGTTCCAGGCTGCAATAATCAGTGATGAGTGCCAGTCTTTTGCTGTGTTCAACTATCCAAAACACGGAATCAGCTGGCAAGGCTTTCCGTATCCAGTAATGGCGGCTGGGAGAGTCCTGGCTACCTCTGGAACTGCCCACGTCAGGCCAGTCAGCGGGGTATACAACCTAACCAATGGCTGCAGCGCTAAGCTGCGTGCCAGGAAGCACTGCCGCGACTCGGTGGTAAATGCATCAACAATATCGCAAGCATCCCAGGACCTGACTCAGTGCCCGGCCCAAAGAGATATAGTTCAAGCTAGCGCTGTGTTTGCGAGACGTAACGTTACTGCCGATTTCCTCTTTCGTGACTGCTTTGACTCCAGTCCAATACAACTGGGTCCGAGTATTCTAATAGCTTCCGTAAGTTGACGAGAGAGAAAGGGGAGGGGAGAAGAGGAGAGAGAGACAGAGAAAGACAGAGCGAGAGAGAGAGAGAGAGAGAGAGAGAGAGAGAGAGAGAGAGAGAGAGAGAGAGAGAGAGAGAGAGAGAGAGAGAGAGAGAGAGAGAGAGAGAAAGAGAGAGAGAGAGAGAGAGAGAGAGAGA